TTTAAGTTATGGAAATGGGGATAATAAACAACCGAAAGTGAAATATATTCTCAAGATTAGTAATCCCCGTATGTCGTCAGATGTTTCCAAAAATGTTTAATATTTTCATTCAATATATCTTCCACTTGGAAGCTTCTTTCTCATTTGCCTAAGTAGGACCCCAGGCACCAGTCCTGCAGCCCTGAATGTTGCGATATTTTTTGATGGAGGGGACTGGGTATAAATAATAGAAGTTCTTGGCTGGCCTTTGGCTGATTTTATGATCATCCAGCCACCGGGAAGCCTCCACACTTCCATTACCATTTCCATTTTCGTTTCAAACAGTGAGCGACTGACATGCGAACTTCCGTTTCTCGGGGCAGGAAATGCAAATAAACAAAAGGCCAGCAGCTCCCTATCTCTCGGCCTGTTTGTGCGGGCGAATTGATTTTTATGGGCCGTAAGTTTGGGATATTTATGCAGCCACCCTGGCCCGACAAGACCAAGTAATCCATGGAGCAGGAAGAGCACTCGGGATTTGTTTATGGAAATGGCAATGCCAAAACCCCACACTCGACCATGAGAGAAGTTTTGCGGTATCTTTAATGGAACATTAGCACTGCAGACGGACGACGGACGACGAACGACTGACGGCCGGCAAAAAATTATAACTTGAGCAGCAAGTTGATTATGCTTGATGGAAGGAAACTGGCCAAATACAAAGAACAGCCTGAAAAAAGGGCATAGAATAAAAGGAGAAAATCGCCTCCGGGCCAAGTCCGGTGGGGAGGCACGTCACTTGAACAACACTCGCTTTTTATACGAATTATTCCTCCGTTTTCATGAGAATTCTTCTTTTTTATTTCGCCTTTTCGGGGTTTTTTATTTTAATGCGCGAGCATTAACAGCCCAAGAGTTTGGCTTTTATTATTGCTCATTTGCACAGTTGTCGGCTGTCCTGTTGTCCTACCGAGTCCTGGCTGGGAGGTTGAGGGCTAACAACATTATGTTTATTTCACTCCCAATGAGCGATGGCACTTTGGTCGAGCGGAAATTCCCGGAATGATGTAAATGCTCTTTCCTGAGATTAAATAACTTTTGGCAACAGCCATTTCTTAAAGAAAAAGTGAAGTCTTTAAAGCGTATTCGACTTCTTAATTAAATCCATAAAAAATAATAATATGCTATATTTCTTAAAGGGTATTGCAGAGCTTATAGTTCTTAGGCTTCCACTCCCATGAGCGGAAAAGTTCATGGAAATTCAATAAGTTTTCTTTCAAATGAAGTTGGTTTAGCTCGTTTTTTATTTGCCTTTTCCCTTTGCACTTTTCAAGCAGATTCCGACGCTTTGCCTTAACCGTTTTAGGCCGTCTCTTTTTGTTCTTGGCCATTTCACAAGTTTTAATTAGCCGCATTTTATGCAAACGCTTTTAAATCAACAAAAGTTCTGAAAAACCGAGGCCCAACAGATAAATGCGAGACAAAATTGAAAGGCTTTTGGGGTGGTGGGTGGCTGCCAAGGTGGCTGCTTTGGGTGGCGAACTGGCAGAGTGGGTGTGGCACTTTGGTGCTGCGGGTGCGAGAAAATCAATTAGCCCGCGGCTGAGTGGCGGAGTGGCTGAGAGTGAGTCCGGGAACTCTTTCCTAATCGACGTGTGAGCTGGGTGATGGAAAGGTGCTCCGCCCGTTCATATCTGCATCTCACTGCGCTGTTTCCGTTGTTCTTCGCCACTCGTTTCCGTTTCCTGCCCGCATTGCAGCTCTAGCTTCCTCCTTTCCGCCCGTTTTGCCATCATTGCTGATGACTTTTGTCCTTGTTCGCCTTCGGGTAAATATTGAAACAACTGATTAGTTTGAGTGAGCTCAGCTTGTTCCAGCTGACATGAAAGTGTGTGTGGTGTTTTCTGAATGCACTGAGAGAAAAAAAAACCAAAACATATTATATTTCACTTCTTAAAATTGACTATGAATTCCATGAATGTCCCTCTTGCTTTACAAATTTGCAATCCAATTTTGAATAAAATACTTTTGAAATACTTATCAATAATATCTATATCTGCAAAAATACCTATTCTCCCCTAACCCAAGCCTATGGCATCTCCATTTTCATTGTGAAAACATTTCAAATTGCCTGTAATGATACGTTGTACTGGGCCAAATCGAATTGTTGAATTATTTATTGGCCATTCTAATTGATGTAAACGAGCCATCGCTGTGAAGGCAGATCCGGGCTAAAATATTCATTTCTGTTTATGGCATTCAGACTCCTGAAGGATGTGTACGAGAGTGCCAATACATGGTATATTGCCTGCTGGATTGCCTGGGAGTATGCAACAGAAAATTGCATTTTGCATTTTCTGTTACTTTGTAATTATATTTACCATGCAAGCGTTTTGTCTCAGTTACTCGACATGCCATCCCCAAAGTACCAAATGGGTCCTGGTTTCCCTAACCCCCTTAAACCCCTTAGCCGTAACCCGTAACCCGTAACCCATAACCCCCACCCTTGCCAAACTTAAATGACATTTGAGTTGCAGACTTTTCCTAATGGAATCACAATTTCCCAGCCATCCCAGTCAGACACACGCGGCGGCGGCGTCACAGGAAAACTTGGGCGAATACTCGTATATTTTTGTTGTCTTATTTAACTGCAAAGTTGAGAGCAAATAAACCGATCCCCCCGATGTGGGCTGTGGGCTGAGCGGGAGTGGCAGCAAAATGTCGCACAAATTGGACTTAATCAAATTGCCAAAATGTTGACAACCGAAAGGAAAGAAATGTAAGAAATATTTGGCACACTGCCTTTGTTTTCGCCTTTCGAACTTTTCCCAAAGTCCTTTCCCCAAACAAGAAAAGAAAATTGAAATATAGGCTTCTGGGTTTTCTTTGCTACTAGTCCTTGTATCCCGGGGATAAGTTAATTAAAAGCTAAGCGATTAGCCAATCAATTGATGGCCAATAATGGCCAAGATAAATACTGAGCCACTTTTATTGGCAATCTCGACAAAAGCAAATCCTTTTGCAATTACAATTAAATGCAATTTATTGTTCGAGGGGCTTTGTGCCAAGCGTGCCGACCTACAAATTATTATGCAGACTGGCTAAAGTTGGCCAAGAACTTAGCCCATTGCTGGTCTAATTGAGTTGTGCTGCAGGTGGAACCGGCAACTGTGAACAACAATGAAAGTCAATTAACTGGCTAAGCCAGGGAAAACATCTTCATTATGTAGTGGAGGCTGGCAATTTGAATAAGCGCTAAAAATTCATTTCAAGTGACCCAATTAACAAAGCAGGAACACCAGCAACACGAGTAGCACCAGCAACAATCGCATTAAACGTTTAATTACAATGTCCCACCGAGTTTCTTTCTCTCTCTCTGGCCCTGGTGTTGTGTCTCTTTCTTATCTGGGCGGCACTTCCGCTGCTAACAAGCGTATCCTTTCCGGCCTAGCTCTGAAAAGGATTTTAGCAATTTGCGTTTTGCATTTTGCCGAGCTCCCCTGATCCCGACCCCGTCAGGCCACTCCACTCCGGTCTCTATTTTTCCAGATTGCACATACAGGCCAGTAGTTAGTTGCTGCCGCTGTTTGTTCACTGTGTTTTTGTATATTGAGTGGCACTCCATTGTTGACCTGCTTCGAAAACAAGCAACAACTGGGCAGCACCACCTACGCACTTGCACTTGCAATCGCAATCGCAATTGCCGAGCCACCCAACTGGGTCAGCTGGTCGTCCCACCAAGGTGGATCCTTTTGTTCGGATCGGAGCACTGGCTCTGACCACTTTCAGACATATGGCCCTTAGGTTTTATGTCTTTGAAAGCATGTCGGAAAAGCAAACAAAGAAATCAGTGGACATGGCTCGGGACATGTTAATGTTTAAGGGAAGACAACAATGCCCGAACGGTTTTGAAAAATACTTGCCAATTAGACAAAAGTTTAAGGATCACTTCTAGTAACTAGTGCTTAAGCATGGGAGTATGGGAATCCTGGACAATCGCCAGGGGGTCCTTGTCAGTTGGGGACTGATTTAATTGAAAACTGAACCATCAAGGCATTGGCCACCCTCGGGGCCTACAACTCTGCGATATGCACGCCTGCCAGCGACAAACCGCAATGCTCGGCGAAATCTGCATTGGAAATAACCCCAAAATGTCTGATTAGCCAGTCGACATGTGGCTCGTGTCGCCCCACCATTCCACTCCACTCCACACCACACCACACCACTCAACTCGACTCAATTCGATTTGATTCTCCATGGCGTTCGATAAACAAGCCAAACTGATGCGCCTAATTGGCTGCGACCCATGCCGAATGCAGTGCGTGAGTCGCCACCAGCAAATGCATTTATGCAAACACCGGGCAGACATACGGATAGAAACATACATACACGTATGCCTAAATAGTTGCAATATTTATATGCGTGGGCTGGCATCGCTGACATAAACAAACACAACAACTTCATTAACGGGCGAACCAACAATGTTCCCATTTTACTGGCTGATTGACTGATTATGGTCAAGTGGCTGACGGCATCCCACCGCCAACCCAATCCAACCCCCCGAATGCTCAACCTCTAAATTTTTATTAATTATCGCACAAGTTTTTACATTTATTTATCATGCACGGCCCGCTGTTGAATTGCGAATATTTTATGCTCGGTGTTAATTTTTATTTGCCGTTTTTCGCCATTGGCTTATTCACATTTTTGTTTTTTCTTAATTTTTATGAACGCTCTGCGATCGCATTTTGTTTTGCTTAATTGCGCGTGGCGAACACGCGGCGTATACGTTATGTGTGTCTGACGCGTTGCATTGCTCATACGCACTGGTGTGCGGACTGAGCTCTGGGAACCGTGCCGGGAAAAACGCTTTTCGCAACGAAATGATATGTTTCCACCAATATAATGTGTTTTTGCCTATCGGCTGTTGCATTGCATTTTATTTTTATGTATTTATAGATTTTAGAAGCATTGGAATATTAAATTACAAATTATGGGCATTCAGATTAAAAAATATTTACCCTTTAGTTTCAGTTAGGAATATAGAGTTACCTGTAATGGGAAAGGAAGAATTTATTTAATGATGTATTTCTGAGTAAATTGTACTTTATATTGTGTCATTTGAAGACTCTATAGTTCCACTTAAAAAGATATACTATTCTATTCAAACATTCACTTTGATGACCCATTGTTAGCTTCGAGTCTCGTATGCTAAACTATTTTTCGTTGTCACATTTCTGCTAAACAAACTCAAATTAAGCTCATCATAAGTAGCTGTCTCCCGACTAGAGATCTACTTGCCTCAGTTGCCAACTGCAACAAATGACATGTTGTGGGGCGAACGAGAAAATCTATGGCTGCAGTGGAAAAATTTCTCGCACTGGATTAGCGATGCAAGGCAGCTGGGCAAACAAGAGGGGGTCGGACTGCGAAGAGTTAAATTGCAAAGCAGCTGCACAAGGCAAATGAAACTAACAAAAATAAATGCACAACAAAAGGGGGTACACACACACCCCTCACTGCCTCTGGGGGGAATACACATTTTTTTTTTGCTCGTCGCAAATATTTCAATTTTTTCCTCTGCTGGCTTGCAACATTTTCGCGTTTCCTTCGGCTTGAGAATGTTCTCTGAACTTTTCCCACATGCACGGAACTCACAGAAGGCCAGGCCGGGCGGGCCCAGGATGCATGGGAAATTACATTATAAATTCAACCCGGCTCCGGTGGAAGAAATCTATTTAAATGTCCACACACAAACAACCTGCAAAAATACATTCAAATTGCATTATGCCGCAATCAATTTTCCATTAAATTGTGTGGCAAATCATTGACCAAACTCTAAGCGAAAAAAGGCAGAACAAACAGGCCAAAAAATATGAATTACATTTTCCACAATTCCACGAGGTGGGGCGGAAACGGGGTGCCTCGGATTGTTTGCAATTTGCATAAATAGCGGACAGATCTCTCCCCAGGGGGAGGCGCCGCCACTGGGGTGGTGGAGCATCCTGGTTGGAAGAGAGATTTATGCGACTGTGCGCCGCCAATTTATGCCGGAAATTTTTCGGCACATTTCTGATATATTCTCATTGAAATTGAAAACATATTAAACGCACATTAATTTCATATGTCAAATCCAAGACTTCGAGGCATGTCAAGCGGATGGGTGATGGATGGAGTTGGAAAGAGTCATTGAAGCATGTCGGAAATGTATTTAATATTAAATAATGTGAGGTATATGCTCTAAAGTTCAGAATAGTTTCCTCTCTCGGATAGCACACTTTTCACAAGATAAGGTTTTCAGATAAACTTGAGACTGCTGGGCTATCTTATCTTCTTAGCCAGTTCCCGAGAATTCAAAATGAGCACATCCCTTTCGCGATTCTGGCCATCTGGGTTAGTTAATGGGGTTAAGTGGCCCGATTCGCCCAAAGGTTCTCTGACTGGATCTTATCAGCGGTCGCGGTTAATCATCGACTTTGTCAACGCCATCTCGGCAAGCAGTTTTGCATATTTATGGCGTTTTCATTTATGAACTGACGCAATAGAATTTATAATGAGCCAGAGGCCGCCAGCTTCCTGGCCTAATGTATTACATCATTAATTCTGAGCAGCCGAATTCATCAAGGGACTCTCGGCGATAAATAAGCCAAGTTGATTAATTTCGTTGAACTTTAAGTCTGATTTTACGACTGCCTACTTCCCACTAGATTGGCTTAATTAGAAATATAATTTAACACCTTGTGTGAAGTCAGAAACTTGTTTTATCTGTAAGCTATTTTTAAACCAAATCAAAACAAAATCTATAAAATAAATAGTGAGTAGAGCTTTGAATAGAGTTATAATCCAATTCCCTGAAAGGAAATACCTAAATGTTGCCTCACTTTGGCGACAACTGGAGCTCAGAACTCTGGCGTCAGAAATTAATCCATTATAAGGCCTAAAAAGCAACAAAGTTTCAAGCTTTGTTTCCCTTTGGGGCTGACCAAATAATTCATTGGACCTCTTGGGCTCGATCACTCACGATAAGGGGACCCTAGTCCCAAAACACAGGGGTTCTTGTTCCCAGTTGTTATAGTTTTGTTTGTTTAATTCTCTTTTTGTGGATTTGTCAGCAACATGATCTGCTATATTTGGCATTCCGAACGCACAATCGGGTTGAAAGTTTTTTATGTATTTCATGTTGTTGGAATTCAGCAAGAGCGGCTTCTCTGGGCCGCCTTGATTATGCTTGAGAGTCTCGGTTTCAGCCTAATTGGCATTTTTAGCGTGTCTCCGTCCCTGTCCCTCTCTCTTTCTCAGTTTCTCAAATTCTCATGCGTCAACGCACCCAAAACATATTTTATATGGTTTCGCTTTATTGTTCTTGACAATTTTTGCATGTCGAAGCCGAAAACTTTTCGGGCGCTTTCTTTTCCCCCCTTATTTTGGCCAAAAAGCTACGAGTGTGGTGTCTGTGCAATTATAATACTGCCATATCTCACCGATTTTGTCTCGGGTCTGGGGACTGGGTGAAGCCATAAAAACAGATTTTACGAGTATGTTGGCAATTTGAAAGTTTTTCGATTTGTTATGGGCAAAGCGAGCCTTTTTAAGGCTCTTAAAGGTGTGCGAACGAGGCGATTATGATGTAATTCATGTCAGGTTTGAAATGGATTTTTGGCAATTCCAATAAACGTGGAATTTGGGAAGAGCCATGTTATAAATTCAAAGGGATAATGTCATGATTCATAGTGCTATTTTTTTAGTTCTTTGAATATTATTACAAAAAGAACTTAGATGTTAGGTAAACTATCATAAAATACATTTTTTCCAGGTACTCCACTCTTGCTCGAGTTTCGCTGAGGTCAGCTTGGGAACAGTTCTCGAAATTTGTAAAATCATGCCCCATTCCCCTCTAGTGTTACAGCACATTCTAACAATTTTGTACTTTGTCCCGTTACCGTGAAAAAAATCATAAAAAAAAAGACAGAGGAACGTTCGCAGAATGACACTTCAGTTTAATGAACCGCCGATTCGCGACAGTTTGAACAGACTGGGCAACAAAAATGAAAAATAAAAAAATAAAAAAAATATATAATGTAAGCCAAGTTGAACTCGAATGTCAAAGTCAGCGAAACCCGACCACCTCTGGGGAAGAAGCGGCTAAAATCATGGTAATTCCCAACTCCACCTAAATGGCGCATAATTAAGAGTAAAAACCGCAGAAAAGAAAACAATTTGCAGCCCGATGGAAATTGTCAGGCGGTGGTGCTGGCATTTCCACTGTGGTTGGGTGGTGCGTTTCACTAAATTATCAGTATGTGCGCTTTTTTTGCTCGTCTGACCAGTGCAGTTTTGGTTTTTTTTCTCTTCGGTCGGTAGGTGGCTAAATTCTGCATTGAATTTGGCCATTCGATGGACCAAAAACTAGGGGTTTGAGCTGCTGCCATCAAGAGCACAGCAGGAAGGCCAAACATCGACTAAATTAGGCTGCCCGGACGGGTTGTGTTGCAGCTTCAAAGGCGAAATATTAAATAAAGAGCCAACTCCTGCTGTTTGACGGACTTAACCCTTTATAGAAAAATATTTTCCAACAAGATCTATAGATAAAAGTAATTTAATCTATTGTTTAATATATTTTTCTATTTATACTTTTAGTTACAAAAAATATATGTATATTTAATCCACTTGTGTGGTTACTCAATGGGTTAATTTTTAGTCGGGCCACGGGGCGTATGCGCAATGCCGCAACCTTTGGCACAAAGCCTGTAAAAAACATGGAACTTTGTGGCGGGCGCTCCTTATAATAGGCCTTCGCCTGCTGAATGGCCACGCCCGGGTCAAGGACAACCGCCCACAAGCCGCTCCCAGACAGGAAGCTGCTAGCTCGGCTCAGCCACTTACCTAGCCGCTAACCCCTCGAATGAAATACCAAGCCATTCGATCGATTAGAGATTGTTCGAGATTGCGCTCTTAAAACATGCTCAGCGTCTAATGCTGTTCAATCAACGAAATTAAAGCTATCGCCTGAGCAGACGCCGTCTGGTCGTCCTCATCATCGCTTCCCAGCTAATGTCAACAATCTATAATGCATCGACATGACAGCCGTCGGATCAAGCGCCAACGTAAAACTCATCGCCACTCATCTGGAGACGGGCCGGGCTCGATCGTAATGGCTGGCAGTTTGTTCGCAAATTGATTTTTATTACAGCAGCCAAGGCGAATAATTTGCCACAAAATAAATATTTAAATTCGAGAATTTTTCATTCTAGTGTGGGCATTACACACTCGGAATGAATTGGTTGTCATTAAGTGGGTTGGCAGGGAGGATGTTGGGGAAATAAAATATTGAGATGTTTACTGTAATGGAACGGGGCATTAAAATGGAAATTTGTTTTTAATCTATTCTAGAACTATTCATATCTTATGACTTTTATCTTTGATGGAATAATTAATATCTATCATTTTGGAACAAATTCTTTATAAATAGTTCATTATGCCTTTTTGATTTAATTGCAAAAAAGCTCAAAACAAAGAATTCCAGCAATTTCTGGGCATTGGAAAGTCAAGTGGCCTGGCCAAAAACAAAAAAACTGGAATTCCAAACTATTTCAAGTTGCCATTTAGCCATAATAATCCCGCAAGTAGAACACACAAGTTAGGGCCCCCAGAGAAAGCATATTATGTGTTCCACATGTTCCAGCGACGACTAATCTAATCTATGCTTATCTATTTGAACAGTAGCACCGAGTGGCGGAATGTGGCTGGAACCACTGGCTGTATGGCTGGAGGTGAAAATAAGTTTTTAAGCGATGGCCAAGATGGAAGACCTAGCAGGAGGCACCTGGTACCTGGGAGGTCTCATGCAATTAGCAGAAATTGCAAATTAATAATCATGTCTCGTGTGGATAACAAGGACAAAAGCCAACACACACGACACCCACTTAATAGAAGGTATATAGTATGTAAGAGGTTGTCCAGGGAGGGTCTCCTAAAGAGGGGCTTTCGAGAGGGGTTTTGGTGGGCGGTTGGTTACAGAAACCATAACAATTTGCAAGGGTATGAAAAATGTATGCAGAGCAAACTTTAAATTCATTACACACACGCAAAGTCAGCAGAGGTAGTCAGAGACACTGAGAATAATTTTAAAGGTAAACAAATAATATAATGTCATTTTTTTACATATACTTCTGGTAAGTCTACCTTTGAGAAATACATTTTCATCTATCCTTTTAAGAATTTCTAGAATATTATGATGGAGGATCAAAGCTCCCTTTCTCTTAGTGTATAAAGAAGGAAAGTAACAGAGAGAGAGGATAAAGGAGGAAAGGTGACAGGTTTTTCCCTGCGGCAGTACAGTGCGGAACATGTGGACATGGGCAGGCCGAGCAGTTTGTTTAAACTGCGGTCGCCTGCCAGGATGTGTCGAATGCTATCCGCACCCACACACGTGCATAATATCCTTTGGCGGCGTGTGTGTGCTGGCTGGCGTGCCCATTCGCACTTTCAATAAGTTCCACTTACTCACACACACCCGCCGCCTCGGAAAGGATTACATCAAATGTGGGCGGTGGCCCTGCCCCCAAACTCTTTGGCAGGTAATTTGAAAAATTTTCGTGCCTCGCTTCTATTTACGCTTTTATCTCTGTGCCACATTTACCAGAAGCCCCCCAAGCCTCTCTCCCCACTATCTAAATGCCCCTGTATTTTTTTCCAACCATTTCTATTTCTTCATTTCTATTTGCCGGTCTTATCCATTTCTTTAACACTATACGATGCAATGTGTGTCTTCCAAAGGGCACTGAGGAATATGTCTTTTTAGAGGTAAGAGTTCGAAACTAGAAGCATAAACATAGAAATATTTTAAAAAATTATTTAAATAAAATCACACACACAAAGAGAAATAATGTACATGTAATGAAATATTAAGATATTATTAAGTTAATATTTAAGACAAGTATTTCCACCTCAACTTGTTAGTATAGCCTACTTTTTTTCTTCCAGTGCCCCTCGTGTTCGTGTTAACCTTGGCCAGGGCATTAAAACCGTGCCAAGTGTCGAAGCGAACTGACTCCTGGCCAGGCCCCCAAAAAAAGGAAAGAAAAGATATTTAAGAAGCAGCCAAGGCAGTTGCGACACCAACACAAAAGCCTGGAAACTGGACATTTATTGAAGGATCCACCTTCGGCTTTGTCTGCTTCTGCTCCTGCCCCTACCCTGCCCCCACCTGAGCTCATTTAAAATTCGGCAAGGTGTGTGGCTCCATGTGTGTGTGTGGCCCATTTCTGTACCTTCTTTCTTTCGGCCAAAAGGCTCCCTTCCATGGTCCCTCCGTTTTCCCTCAGTGTTGTCTTACGCTTCCTTTCGTCTATCTTGGCTTTCTCTGGTGCTTATCTCACTGAACTGTTGCATTTTTAATGCCATTTTATTTCATTTTTATTTTTATGCTCTTGCCAAAATGTTTTTTCTGTCCCTCCTCATTTCGGTCTTCTTTAATTTGTTTGTTATGCTTTTTTTCCTTAGTTCGCATTCTCACATCCCCGGCACACACTTGGAACTTTATCATTTTTGTCTCTGTGGAGAACCGAATGGGATTCTAGGGAAGTACGATAGTGATCCGAGGGGATTCGTACATTAGAATATTGGTCGAGATAAGTATTTGGAAAGAGCTCCAAAACTATGATTTATTGGAGGTCGAGTTGGGACAAAGGGATAGTTACTTATAACATTAATAGAAGATTTAAAAGAATCCAGATCTTATCCTTTTTTCCCGAATTACTCCTTATAGGGTAAGCCCTATTCGAACATCCTGTTGTATCTCAACCACCTCTACCGCAAAGTCTTATTTTTTGCTGGCTAATGTCTATTTTCTTGTATTTTGGTCTCTTTTTCTGCATTTCGGCATTTTATGATATCCCCGCGCGAATTCTGGCCGTTTCTGAATGCATAGGGCTTTGTTTTCCATTTTCTGCGGGATACTTCCTTCGCTCCCTCGGATTTGTTTATTTTTTTTTATATTTTTTTGCTGAAGAAAGCAATGTATTTTTAGTGGATTCTGCTAAATGTCTAAAAATATGCGGCATGTCGAGCACCTGAATGGCATCAGTCTATGGAGTGGGAAGAGAGCCGTGGCCTGCCGTGGGGAGGGGCAGAGTGTCAGGGTCCATTCGGCTCGCTTTTTTATTTATGACCCTCGAAAAAAGCGATTCGTGCATTTGGCTTAAATCTCTCAGCCTCAAGCAGGAGGAGACCGTTGAAGGTCACCAGTGGAGCGGCTCCCCAGCACCACCTCCACCTCTCCAAAAAAAAATAAAACCAAATCGATTTTAACGATTATTATTCCTTGGCTTGTCGGCTTAGTCACACTCACTACTCACTTGGCCCGAGTTGGTTTATGAATATTGAATGCATTTTGGCACGGCTGGCAAAAAAATAAGAAAAATATTAAAAAATAAGAAACCCACTTCTGATTGACAAAAGTGTGGCAAGGACATTTAGCGAGTAGCCAGTTCTGACGACACTGCCACATTAGCGCTAATTGATGACCAAGACTGAGCAGTGCCACGCCCCCTTTACAGCGCTAAGCCCGCCTCGTTCCATACGGCCAGTGACAGCTCATTAATAAGCGGATTTGGCCCTTTGGAGAGCATGTCCTTTTGGCCTTCGCTCTGTGTTGACGAGCTAATCTACTGCATAAATCTACAGTTTTGTTAACAATCCCAACAAGAGCTCAGATATACCAACAAAGGCAATAAAAAGCCACCGAATAAATGGCCAAAAGGCACAGAGCAAAATTTCTGGCTCGTCAAAGTGATTTGAAAATATTGTCACTCTTATCTCGGACATATGACATTATTAATTTAAAAACTGATATTTTTAACTCAAACTCAATTTTTTTTTAGCAAATTAGTTATCAGTTATCGCCATGGAAACCAGTTAAAACATTCCCAATGGATGTTTGCAGTTTTTGGGTCATTGCGATAAGATAGCGAAAAATAATAATCTCTTGCCTCAAAAATGTGATGTCTCTTTTAAGCCACTTGCCCACGAGGAAAGCCTTTCAATTAAACGAACATTATTGCTTTCTCTGTAGCACAGTGCAGGGGGTCAGAGGTGAGTCCAGGGGTCGTGGGAGTGGCAACATCATTGGGGCAGGTCCCAGCACTTAATTAGAATTGTGCCTGAACGGAATAGAATATAGCGCGGCAGTGGGATAATTTATGCAGCCCAAGGAAACGGACGACGAAAAGAATCTTCGGCATTAAGTATTTCTGCCATTATTTATAGCCCAAATACGTATACGAAATATTCCAATCATGTTATGCAAATGCCCCAGGAATATCCAGAAATCGAATTGAAAATTTTGCGAGTTAATTGTTTGATTTTCACTTTGCTGAAAAAAAGCGTCTATGATTGCTTACCTTTCTTAGATTTCCGCCTGGGCTAAGAGTGCAAATAATTTGAAATGCAAATATGCAGAGTTCCCTGCTTTCTAAGCTTCACTCCGCGATGGACTTTTGCCAAAAAGGAAAAATATATATCGAGTATATATATCTTTTTTTTCGAGGTTTCCGCAACTGACAGACTGTCCTAGGCAAGACTATTCGCGGGTCCGCGGCAAATATTGAAACTTGATATTTATTTTGGTATATATACTTTTGTTGGACAAATCAAGCCAATTAGCGCGATTTTGGCGGTGAGGCTTTGACACAAGAAGTCGAATGGCGAATGGCGGGCCGATATAACAAATGTAACCGGCACGAGCTAAATTTCACCTGCACCTGCCAAGAAACACTTGCAACTAAGGTAAGTAGGTGGCACTGGCGAATATAAGACAATGGGCTATGATGGGCTATCGGCACTTGTTGTCCCAGTCAAGTCGTTCGGAAGTTCAGTTTTCTTTTTACTTTTTTTTTTAGATGGTAGGTAAGGTTTCGTTTTGTTTTTATTTTATTTATTTTTTTTAGGCAACCACTACTAACTATTTAGCGGCAGTTTTTCGAAGATGCCGAGGAACGCGTGCGTTCGTCACGAGCGTAAAATTGCGACTAACCGACTGGCAATCGCAAAGCCCCAAATGCTCCACTGCCGGCTTGCTGTGCCTCCACTGGCATGCTTTTGCTTTGCTTTTTCTGTTGCTGTTGCTGTTGCTGGTGCTTGGCCAACAAGTCTCTCTGCTCACCGAAGTGACGTCACTTTGATGAGATGCTGTTTTAGCCGAGAGAGGCCCTGGGGCCCGGCACTTGGCGAAATCTTTGGGGCCAAGATATAGAAGGCTATTACAAAAATACCAGAATATATATTTAAGAAATTGGGATTAAATATATGTCCGTTGTTTAGCTCACATATAGATTCATATATTTAGAAGTGGTTATTAAATAATTTAATCTTCTTAAACTACCCACGGCTCTTATTTTAATAGTAACTGGTTTGTACACATCGTTTGATTTTTAATAATGGTTTTTTTTTTAGTAATATTTAAGTTCTAAAATAAAAAAATTATTCCATTTCTCAACAAACAACCTTTGAATTTATATATTTAAAAAAAAAAGGTTTTTTAATTACTTAGAAACTAATTTAATGTCTATTCTTTAAAAAATATATATTCTTGCAAAAACCTTATGAGCAAGACATTTATTTCTAAGCCATAAAAATTGTCATATTTTTTTTCTCCATTAAAAACACGAGCGTCGTCGGGAATTCTCTCGCGAATTAGCCGGCTCTGCTCAGTCACATGTTGCAAATTGGCACTGTTGCTTCTCCGCGGCAACATGTTGCCAAGTTCACCGAAGTTTGGCGCGCTTTTAATAATTTTTAAAGTGCGTTCCGATTCCGATAATGTGACTGGTAGTGGGGTTGTTTTTTTGGTCCAGTGCCTGGCCCCTTTTAATTGGCGATGCCTGATTTATAATTTATACAGTCGCGATTATTTTAGTTTTGTTTTAGATTTCCTTTTCACTCATGTGCCGCTCGCCTCGCTTATTTATAAAGACTTTTAAATTTATGGCTGCTGACTTTTCGCATGAGATCAGAGTGCTTGGCCCAGTTAATTTATGGGCGCAACGGGTGCGTCTTGTCTCGCCTTGTTTCCCGGACTCGTCTCCCCGAAACTAAAAATGTGTGTTTCAAATAACAGAGCAATAAACGAAATCCTCCTGCTCATTTTATTTTTTGTTGCCCAACTCGGACAATGTTGCCGCCGGATTTGTTTACCTTCTGCGGCCTGGCCAACCTGAAATGGCTAACAAAACAGCGACTCTTGACCATTTCCAAAGCAAGCCAGCGACGCCATCTGTCTGCCGGCTCTATTTATAAATAATTACGCGGATTAGTTATTTGTAATATCAATTACTCATAGTCTGGATTTAATTAGTTCGCGAAAGTCTTTTTAAATTCAATATGAAGCATTTTTTATATGCTAATTTCGTTGCGGAATAACTTAAACTTCAAAGAACATTTCTTGGACTTTTTACGAAATCTGTTTACAAAACAGAAAGCTTTTCATCTTCGGCAACTTGTTGCTTGCAACAGTGGAAAGTGGAACCACAATGCAACAAGGTGCAAGTATTTCTACTAAAATTATCATCATCAAAAATAGTTACTGGACTATGGGTTAGCTGAAGGGCTTTATCTCCAAACAGTAAACATTTTCAAGGGCTTGCAATGTAAATATCTTATTCAGTTTCTTGATAAGACATTGCAGTTAACTCAAAAAGTACCCACATAACAAACCAAGCTATAGTCAATTAGTGTTAAAATTGAAACTCAAACGATAGCATATTATTTCAAAGACTTTTAACATTGTAAGAGGGGAACACAGCCACATAGGACCTACAACAAAGTGTTGCATTTATGACTTGTGCGCGCCTGACCCATTTTTGGAAAAAATCCTAAATTCCAGTGGGTGTGGTCGTCACCCCAGCAAAGTGGTCGAATTGCAATCCCATAAACAAAACGGATTGTTTACACAGCCAGCAACAAATTGGGCGCACGCACTCGAGGAAATATTATTGGACGGATTGTAAACAAACGAAAATATAATTTGAGAAATTTTTGAAGATCGCCGATCATTAAGACAAATGGATCATAATTTTTCGCATTGGAATAGTTGCAAATCGAAATAGATTAATTTATGATACGTAGAAGAGTTAGCATACCGAGCCACACGCAGCGTGATCCATGGCTGCTAAAAATAGAGATGACATCCATTTGGAAATAGAATCGCGATCAGGGAGGTGCTTGTGGCCAGTGGGGTGGGGAGTGGGTGTGTGTGCCAGTGGGTGTTGGGTGTGGGATGTGGAGAGTGGGTGGGCCTGCCGCCATCTGCTCTGGACATTGGCATTGAGTGGGTGGCGCCTCGCTGGCAACATGTGCGCCAGCTGCCCCACAAAATCCGTGCATAAACATCAAATTCGTGTAATGTTACTAGGGCACTGAAAAAAAAAGAATTGATCAATGAATTTGATGAATTAGGCCTTAAGAAAATTAAAAATGTATTCATGAGTACTTTAAGAAAAAATAAGGTATTTAATAAAACAAAATTTTTTTTTACTTTAAGTTGTCCTTTAAAAAACGAAAAAATTCCCATATTCCTTAGTTAAACTTAAAAACCTTGTGAAAATGATGTAAAAACTACTAAACTTGCAGAAAACTGGAAACAAAGAGATAAACTTACTTATACAAACTTATAAACTTATATATAAACTTATAAAACAAAAACCGGCGTTTTCTTTAACAAACAAATAGTAAAAATAAAAAGTTTCCAATCGCTATTGTTCCAAATGCTTTGCTGGCCATTAACACCCCTAGAATTCTAATAAAAGATACATTTGATCTTGATGGTCAGGAAAAGGTGGAGGGGTAAGGAAGTGGAGGGCAGACGGGTCTGGGAGAAGGTCAGCCATGATTTATGCCGTAGCTCAACTCATCTGGGGCCATCAAAGGGCAGACACCCATTAATTGAATTTCTTTCTGCGCGATCTGCACTTGACTCTGCCGAATGTTTGCGCAACTTTGGCAGCCGTATCTGATATTATACCACTAATTCTTGTAATTTATGGCAATTTAAAGATTTGTTCAGCTGCCCCGGGGGACCCAAAGAGTGCGAGAGCCTAAACAAACATTTTCCAGCGGCATTTCTGGCGTGACATTGACCCATCCAAGAGGTCGCCGCACGTGGGCACCCGCACTCGAAATAAAAATAAAAATAGGAGCATCTCTTCTAAGGGCTAGCGTTGGGTAAGGTAAAGAATATTCTAGCCGAAAATGTCAGGGAAATGGTAAACGGTATGAAAAACCCGGGAGAAGTAATAGACAAATCTTATAATTCTTTTTTAAACAAATGATAACCTAAGTAAAGTGTAGAGGTGTTGTGTAAGGGAGATAAGATAACAAATTAGTCTTCACTGTAAGCCCTGTCGGGGAAAACCCCCTTTTCATCACGAAAAGTGGACAAAAAATCTAAAAAATATTTTATATCAGGATTTTAATGCAGAATGGTGGAGAATCGATCTAGAAATCTTTTAAGGTACTCCGCTTGAGAATCGGATGAGAATTGGGAAAGATATAGCCATCACTGTGGGCCCTATAGGGAAAAACCCCAATTTCAAGGGATCCATCATTAAAAATGGACAAAAAATCTAAAAAATATTTTATATCAGGATTTTGATGCAGAATGGTGGAGAATCGATCTAGAAATCTTTTAAGGTACTCCGCTTGAGAATCGGATGAGAATTGGGAAAGATATAGCCATCACTGTGGGCCCTATAGGGAAAAAACCCAATTTCAAGGGATCCATCATTAAAAATGGACAAAAAATCTAAAAAATATTTTATATCAGGATTTTGATGGAGAATGGTGGAGAATCGATCTAGAAATCGTTTAAGGTACTCCGCTTGAGAATCGGATGAGAATTGGGAAAGATATAGCCATCACTGTGGGCCCTATAGGGAAAAACCCCAATTTCAAGGGATCCATCATTAAAAATGGACAAAAAATCTAAAAAATAATTTATTTCAGGATTTTGATGCAGAATGGTGGAGAATCGATCTAGAAATCTTTTAAGGTACTCCGCTTGAGAATCGGATGAGAATTGGGAAAGATATAGCCATCACTGTGGGCCCTATAGGGAAAAACCCCAATTTCAAGGGATCCATCATTAAAAATGGACAAAAAATCTAAAAAATAATTTATTTCAGGATTTTGATGCAGAATGGTGGAGAATCGATCTAGAAATCTTTTAAGGTACTCCGCTTGAGAATCGGATGAGAATTGGGAAAGATATAGCCATCACTGTGGGCCCTATAGGGAAAAACCCCAATTTCAAGGGATCCATCATTAAAAATGGACAAAAAATCTAAAAAATATTTTATATCAGGATTTTGATGCAGAATGGTGGAGAATCGATCTAGAAATCTTTTAAGGTACTCCGCTTGAGAATCGGATGAGAATTGGGAAAGATATAGCCATCACTGTGGGCCCTATAGGGAAAAACCACATTTTCAAGGGATCACATCACGAAAAATGGAAAAAAAATCTAAAAAATATTTTGTCTCAGGATTTTGATGCAGAATGGTGGAGAATCGATCTAGAAATCGTTTAAGGTACTCCGCTTGAGAATCGGATGAGAATTGGAAGAGATACAGCCATCACTGTGGGCCCTATAGGGGAAAACCCCAATTTCAAGGGATCCATCATTAAAAATGGACAAAAAATCTAAAAAAATATTTTATATCAGGATTTTGATGGAGAATGGTGGAGAATCGATCTAGAAATCGTTTAAGGTACTCCGCTTGAGAATCGGATGAGAATTGGAAGAGATACAGCCATCACTGTGGGCCCTATAGGGAAAAACCCCAATTTCAAGGGATCCATCATTAAAAATGGACAAAAAATCTAAAAAATATTTTGTTTCAGGATTTTGATGCAGAATTGTGGAGAATTGCTCTAGAAATCGTTTAAGGTACTCCGCTTGAGAATCGGATGAGAATTGGTAGAGATACAGCCATCACTGTGGGCCCTATAGGAGAAAACCCCATTTTCAAGGGATCCCATCACGAAAAATGGACAAAAAA